GCCCTCATGATGTGGAAGGCAGCTGCGAATATACTGAATAAGCGGTCGCGGACAGCCGACAAGGGATGTTCCTCCACCTTGGGGGTTGGGCGGGGGCTAACAACTCCTCACCGTAATAAATAAGCTTGTTACGAAAGATCACAAAAGCCTCGGACCTGGACGGAAAAAAGCACGAATTGGGTAGAAGAGGAATGCATATAGATTATTGGTGAGAAATCCAGAAGGAAAGAGACCGCTGGGAAGACCAAGACATAGATTGATGGACAATATTAAAATGGGTTTTAGAGAGATAGGATGGGATTGTATGGATTGGATTGGATTGATCTGTGTCAGGATATGGATAAACAGAGGTCTCTTGTGAATACGGTAATATACCAGAAGGACTCAGCTCCATGAGTGAGTAAGTGAGTAGTTAGGTATTTGGTCAGTTAATTTGTTATGTAGAATGTTAATTACTCAGCCGTATACAGTATGTACAAGACCCTAAATAAAGATGTGCTCCAGTGGAATAAATATAGACTTTCATTCCAGTTGCGTTTCTTCTACTTTAGAAACATACCGCACAGATTCTGATATTTACTTATTAAAATACAGAATCACGCTGCATATATCATGATGATAAGTCGGAAGTTTCTCACCGTTCTGCTTTGCGAAGTATCGGGAAATATCCATTTAAAGTTGTAGATCTTCTGTGAACTGATATCTTTTTTTTTAGAAATTATTCATTGTCAGAGAAAATTTCTGAAATTCATACTGAATTTACATCTGAAAGCAGAGTTGTACAGGACCGAAAAGAAGTAAAATTAAATTGCTTTGACAACTTTTAAGCGAGACTCCAAAAACTGACCCTTTGGTTAGTTTCGGAGATATACAAACGACATACAGACCTTCCTATTATACGTTCATATGCTCTTCTTGCAAAGGACACATGAATGGCGTAAACATGAATGCGAATTTTATTCTAGAAACTTGACAGGCATGATCTTGCTCAGAATTCTACTTTAAATAAGGGAAATCCAATGTACAGTAACATGGAGGTAGTGCGTGTGAAAGTTACTGGATATTCCATCGAGCCATTTCCTTCATCAGTCAAGACCAAACGGTCCATACGTCAATGCCAGCAGGATAGACAGACAGACAGACTGTGAGAGAGCCGTAGATGCCGCTGACTGCAGTACCTTCTGCCCCTACATCAAAAGGCAATCACTTCGAAACCCTCAAGGTAGCAACCCTTACTCTGTATTTACAGTGCTCTACCACTCAGATAACTTCTGACAGACACATGACAGCCTGAACGCTACCTTGATGTATTGATCCCCAAGGTACAGTGGTAGTAAGGGTTTAGTGAATTTCATGGGCTCCGCCACTGGCGAGTGATTACTGCTGGCAGGTAGATGATGAAATTTTCGGGCTTGCTGAAGATGGTACGGCGTATCGGTCCGCAAGGATGGCTCAGCCTATCCAGAGTTCTCTTCATTTTCGCTAGTAGTAACACTGGTGAAAAAAAGTGGCATGTCTAAAACTCATTTTCCTTGTCATCTGGTTTTCGACCAACTGTTAGTTTCTCAAGCAGAACTCGGCTCTGTGGAGTTAGTTGATTTGTTTAGGTCGGTTCACAGGTACTTTCTTGTTTCCAGCCTTCTGAAAATAATGGAGGAAATATAATTTCGTTAATTGAATCACACTCAAAAGTTTGCATACGTTTGCCTTACATATTTAAAATACCTGGCTAAAATATTGTACAGAATTCTGTGTTTTCGAGTTGAACTGAACTTCTCACATACCGTAAGCCGATTTAATTAACTTCTATGCACGAGCTTTGTTTTAAGTATTTAACAGCTTTTGTGGGGAACTAGTAATTAAACGTTTATCGAACTGACAAATTCAACTGTTAATAACAGTATTGTGTTCCATACTTTGAAAGCCGCGCCGGTTGAGTTTTAATGAAATGATGACATCTACTGTAGGTACTTAAATTAACGAGTACGTGTATATGTTGTAATTACCCAATAGTGTACTATATGTATGTGCCGATCACAGTGGCCGCGCGGTCTAGGGCATGAACTGTCTTCGCTCTCTCGAACGTTGGGATCGTAGACTCGAATCCAACTCGAGGAATGAGTGTGTGTGTAGGTAGAGACCTTGCTACGGGCTAATCCCCCACCCAAAGAATCCTACTATGTGTGTAAAAAAGATTATGAAATTGAAGAAGAGACCAGGGCCAAACAAAGGACTGTAGAGTCATTGTTCAATAAAATGAATGAAAAATATATGTATATAGTTACAATATTTAAGTCATTCTGTTGTAATATCTCGATTATAACACGAACACTTAATGGTATTTAAACACAAATTAATATTAAAATTTTGGTCTTGTGGGTTGTAACATCTTGTATTTTTGCAGATGGTTAGTAACTTTTTGGAGGAACCTACTGCTTCCTTCTACAGTGACTTGTTGACTATATCTACCTTGAAGATAAAGTTAGTAGGTTTCTGCTACACGTTTGTGACCACCCACCGTTCTACATGGTGTCCCAAAAAGCTCAAGTTTTGTAAAAATAATTTATTCTAAGTCATGTGTCTTCGCTAACAACATCAGCAGTTAGTCTATATGTATCGATGTGAAGTTTTAATAGTTAAATAGTGAACTGGGCATTTCACGTATGCTACAAGCATCGAGATTTGTCTAACCATAGTAAAAATCCAGTAATCAAACAAATAAAAGCTAGTGAAGGATTAAATATAATAGTCACATGAAATGAAAGGATGAAGCGAAGAATTGCTTTTATTTTGTTTGTTTCGTTGATTGGTTGTTTAGCGACATGTCACTAACTACATAAGCTATATAAATTAAAATGAGAGGGTAATTATGAACGATAACCTAAGACGGTAATGACAGGCCTCATCCTTTGTCTGTTTAGGATACTATTTATGTATTTGCCCTGAAAAGCTAATAATTCCTAGCATAGCTGATTTGAACGGAATTCAAAGTTTTCCGAAGCGCGGACAGTAACCACAACACTACCAGAAGTGGCCGCAGTACAAGGGACTTAGTCCCACCCCACTAGCAATAAAAACACAACACTGCGAAGACTTCCTTGGTTGAAGAATAATCCTTCAGTGGAAGATAAATATTAGCGTCTTGTTGTATCCCCATTTTGTTGGAAACTGGGCCATATCTGTCTCGAGCATGTGCCACTTTATGGCCCAGATGGGACTGCAGTATACGCAGTTAAGATGGCAGTGTCCGTGCACTGAGTCCTCTTCATGCGTCTTCGGTTACATCACTTCAGAATTTCGGCTTCATGAACTGCTTTTCTCAGTAAGATTTGAGGTTTTCACGGCGGGGACTATGAAGAAAGCAGTCTTCTGTGATGTTGCGCCGTATAGATATTGTGTTAACCGACATTTCGGAGGAAAGTATCGCCTCCATCTTCAGGGTAGAAGAAAAAATCTGCGAGCGAGAAACCAGCGTGACCAGTTAGCACCTGCTTACGCACCTGCTCCTCCGAAACGTCGGCTAATACAATATATATATATATCAACTTTTCTCAGCTTTCGATACGTATTTACAGTTTCCATATTTTAATTTAAAGGTGCCTCCACTTCTAGATTACAATATCCTTACATATCGAGCAATCGTGCGTAGTGGCATAATGATTGATTGCTGTGCTTCTGCATTTGGGAGGACGCTCTTTCAACTCTCACCCCTGAGACTGATGTCCTAAATGAAAAATTTATTTGTATCCATCAGTCCTCTCATGAAATACGCAGTTCGCTAAAATACATCATGACTGCTACCTCTCACATTCTTACCTTTCCATTAATCCTAACCGTTTATTTTCTTATTCAATGCTATACGGACATTACTTATTACGTATTTACCCAGGCTTCGTTACTGCAAATTCTGAGACAGCAGCGCTGATGATGTGCGAAATCTGTATTCAGCTTTCCGTTTGACCGCGGTACCTGCAGCGATGTAGGTGAAATGTTATAAATCCTAAACATGACTACTGAGTTTTTATGAAATAATGTTCTGCATGTCTACAGTTAACTAATGTGGCGACCGTGTGAAACTTCAAGTTATATCTGACAAAGATAACAGGATGATAATATACAGAGTGTCCCAGGAGGAAAGGACAATGTTCTCGGAAGTCATAGTATCAGTCAAAATGCATTAATGTTGAAGGTGGAATTTTTCGAAAATTGATTACACTAGGTAAACTGTACCAACTTTTCCACTTGAACAATAAATACCGGTATTAGAAACAATATATACTATCTCTTTATCATCAACAATTTTGGAACTGCACAGTGAAATAGCTATATCTCAGAAACTGTTCGGAACAGGTCACATGTTCATATACAACTTTTTGCTTAGAATGACCGATGCTATGACCTCTCAGATTATTGACCTTTCCTCCTGAGGCACCATGTATACTAGTTTAAACTATGCATACAAACGGATCAAATAGTTTTTTCCCACTCGCTCCCACTTTGGAGCATAGGGCTGATTTCTCAGTTTCATGATCATTTTACAGACTGTAGTACTCCTTGGACGGGTGATCAGCTCGTCGCAAGGCCTCTATCTAAACACAGGACAATACAAACACAGAATAAACGCGTACACACACCAAACAACCATGCCTTGTATGGGATTCGAACCAACGATCCCTGCTTCCGAGCGAGCGAAGACAATACATGCCCCAGACCGCTCGGCTGCCATGACAGGCGATCAACTAATTAGTATCTATTAACTCATGGTTCTTGCTAGCCTCATCATATATACTGATGCAATATGAACTTCAGTGTAAATCGGAGAGTTGTAGCTTATGGGATATAACACCGTGTAATCCGTTGAAAGTTAACTTCTGACTGACTGCACGGCATTATATCCCATAAGATACAGCTCTTCATAACCACCAATGTGGGAAAATCAAACCCATCATTGTAAACCCTTTGCAGAGACTATTATGGTGGTTATTGTGTATGTGCTGCAGACGAGTCCTGACGGTAACACGACGACAAGTACGGTAACATTTGTGCCCACCATGGAAGACAGCGGGAAGATCCTGACATGCCGAGCCAACACTCCACTTATTGACGAGAGTACCCTGGAGGATGGCTGGAAACTCAACATCCACCGTGAGTACATGAAGTTTTTCTATTCCGAATCAAGCAGGACATAAGGATTAGTGCTGGAGAGATTAATACTGATAACAGACGTCTTTTTGGTACGCTGTGTCCTACCCTCCTCTCCGTGTTATTCTACGTAATCACGCACTTATTGAAAGCAACGTGACAATACAAAGATGTTGGGTTTCATATAGCGTTCAATAAATTTCCTCTGTTACCGACTCCAATGATTGTTTATCATAGCACTGACAGACCTCGACCTTTGTCACTGATTTCTAAGATAAAATCAATATAGATACGTTCCAGTTCAAGGATAACCTATCTTCTGAAGATGGGAACAGAGCAGATACCTGAAACATCATATACAGACTATATTTTCACGATTTTAGTGACCATAGACGGAATTTTGGATTGGTGATTGGATTTATTGGACTCTTGCTTACAGCGCATGACTACACTCTTTACAGTTCACTACTACACACACTGGTGTCCGCAGTCACTTCTTCACTGTCGTTGCCTGGTAGCGGTTTTCCATGGCGGACGTTTCTCTTACTCTGGGTTCCCGAACTCTCCCTGGCCTCAGCTGCAAGCTTCTAACAGCAACAGCACACAACAACTGAACCGTAACAGTTCTCTAACTAACTCATAATTTAAAGTCAAAGTACGAGTACGTTACGACCGACGGTCAGACGGCCAGTCGGCCAGTCTGTCTCGGTGTCAAGTACATATCTGGGGCCAAAGACCAAATTTTTATTACTCCTTCCCACCGTTACTGTGTTGTTCCCTTCGTGTCTGTTGGGGTGACCACGTGATCACAACTGAACCATTGCCTAACAACGGCCATTGTTTGCAGAACAATTGCCTAGCAACGAGCCATCACAATTCTGCCTTGAGCAAATATTCCACAATATTAAATACGTCACAGAAAATTAACAACCTTTACCATACAGGAAAAAAAAAACTCAGTGATTTTAGTCCGTAAGCGAACTATACCGACCGAGCGACCGCCGCTTGTCGGCGAAGTTTAGTGCCAAATTTTGCGGACAGAAGGTATCGCGTGGTCAGCGTAACGAATCCCCACGGCCGTTAATTTCGGTTTTCTAGACCGGAGACGCTATTTCCTCGAAATAGCTCCTCAGTTATCATCACGAGGCTGAGTGGACCCCGTTACAGACCCACTATTTAATTACACGTAATTAACCATTACCACAAAGCAGTGTAATCTTAATGGCAATGATGATTGTACTGTAACAAAATTAAATACACACACACATCTCGCCCAATATTTCTAATCGTGTCCGTAATAATATGGGTCATAGGAATCACACTTCGATGGATGAGAGCGTGAATATACTCACACTATTCCACTCAGTTTATATATCATGATTAGATATAGTGAAGTGTTAGCTTCACTCTGCCTCTGTTTTTACCTCGAGAGAAAGCGTGCCTGACAGATAAAACACTTTATGTGCGGTTTAAATGTCCGTAGATCATTTCTAAATGCGATGGGGTTTTTTCCGTCGAATTGCATTATACGACATCCAAAAATATAGCAATATTTTAGTCTCCACCGTAAGAACCGCAGTCTCACACACAGTTTTAGTTACAGAGAGATTCAGTTGTTTCAATTTGACGGATATGTTTGCCGGTTCTTCCGACTGAGACGCTGGCAGCACTAGTTTCCAAAATGGCGTCTTATCGTTTTGTGTTCTTGTGTATTTTTCAACTGTGACAAATGTTGAAAGGGAACTACATATGAATCACCAAATAGACTCTTCTAGAATTTCTTATTAGAATCGTCAGTTCCATCTGCAAGGGAAGAAGAGCAACTCCCTGACTAATGGAGGACACGTTCCACGACCACTTCGTTCAACCGATCTCACTTTCTTGAATTCTTTCTTTACTGTTTTCTGTTTATAGAAGGGGGTTGATTAGTATTAGGGTGTGTGGAGTCACAGATGGACCAATTCACAATACAAGAAAGTGTATTTTCAGTATGCAGCCTACTTTATAACCTATTTTGATAGTTTTTTATGGTTTTTATTTAAAGAACATATCTTCTTCTGATTATCCGCCTGATTAATCAGAACAGCGACAATTTATTACCACTACGTAAATTGGAATTGGTGTTCTTCGGCCCTGAACATCGCGTTACTCAGAACAGACAAACAGTAGGTAATTAAACTGCCAGAATGTTGTCAGTGTTGTGAGTTTAAATTAATTTTGAAGCAATAAAAATATCAGTACTCTTGAAATATCTCTCCATTTTGTTCATTATTTAATAATTCATATATGCATATATAAACGTTAAATCTTAGTAGGAAATGCGAATTCTCACTTCGTAATCTTATATCTAGGAAAGTAGAAATTTTCTCTCTAGAAGTAAGAATATAAATATAAAATTAAATTAAATATTTCATCTTTCAAAATGCATAGATTTTTGGCAGCTTTCTAAATTGAATCTTTTTAAACTCTCTGCTACAATTCAGAGTCTTGGAGATTCAGATACGTACACTTAATTGTGCTGAATGTTATTTCAAGATGTTCTCATTATTTTAAATTAATAACATAAATATATAAAGAAATTAATACATACTGTCACTCGACTGAAATGTTCAGTGGAATATACATACAGTTAAATAAAATGCAGCTAATTATGCAGCCAATCCTAGGCTCGAAAATATTAATGAATTCTGAAATACCAGTGAAATTTAAATAGAGACAGCACCAGAGATTTCTTTCGTTGGTAGATCAAATTCCCCTAAAACTCTTATTAATATTGATTAATTATATCTCTATTTTCTCATTACCACGTTACCTTCCATTCCTCTAGAAGGATCTTCACAAACGTTGTCTATTCGTAAAAGTTGGTACAGTTTGTCCCAAATATTAATCAGAGCCTGTGTTTCAAATAACTTTCACTTGAAAAAACAGGAATACACAGAAGCGTTATATCATCTGGAATATAAGGTCGTGTAGTCTGTTGAAAGTAACCCGACGTTTCAGAAGAACATCGCTTCGATCTTCAGGCTCTACTTGCCACTTGCCTTCGAGTTGACTTCTCGCTTGGCTTAGTCTTCGACACCGAAGATGAAAGCTACGTGTTCTTCTGAAACATCGGTTGACTATCAACGGACTGGATGGCGTTATGTATCAGAAGATAGGACTCTTCATAACCACCGCTGTGAGAACCTCAATCCTACGCAGTCCTTCTGTCCGTAACGACTGAAAGGTTTACATATAGGTCCTTAATTGGGATTGGAAGGTTTAACCCACCACTGTTACTATTGTGACTCCTATGCTTTCCGGAAGAGGGGTAAGGTGGTTGTATAGGTCAGTTGTCCGTACATTCTCTGAATCTGCAGACTCCAAAATTTTCTCGGCTAGGTTGCGCTGTGAATTCTCCCTGCTTGGAGAGGACAGTAACCCGCATTGCTGGGCCCACGCCGCAGCTCCCTGGGCTCAGGGGTCGCCTGCCCCCACCGCGCCACTCACTGCTGTAGGAAATCGATTGTACTGACGTCACATGCATGGTGCTGCCTCCTGTGTACTGGAAGCCACAAGTCTGGGCTGTCTAATTACACTTGGCCACATGGAAAAGAAACGGGGAAAACAAGGGAATTCCGTCTCTGTTCTTTGTTTGTGGAGAGAACAGCGCCTGGTGGCCCACAGCTCTAGTATACGGATTGCATTCAGAATGTCCAGATCTACCGTAGGACATTTACTGCTCACCATCTTCCGTCGCCTTTTCTCTTAGCGCTTTATGAAAACTGAATAGTATTGTCAAAAATGTGTCATTGCTTCTTTCTTTAAAATCCATACTATCCTACAGTTGAATTCTGTATAATGCTTCAAAGACAAATAATTGACACATTTGAATCTTCCTTTGGCATCAGCCCGCCACGAAGTACAAACTAATTGTTAAATTATATAAGAGCATATGGAGTGGCACGAGGTAGCGTGATAGTAGCTAGCCACCTGCTCACGCTGGTTCCTCACTCGCGGATTTTTCTACCCTGAAAATGGACGCGATACGTTCCTCCGAAACGTCAGTTCGCACAAGATCTACACGGCGCCACATCCCAGAAGACGGCATTGTTTAAAATAAACTTATTGACTGCAAAGATTGGATGATTAAAATTGCTTAACAAATAGTGAAGGCCTTGAAACAATTTTTTTCTCCGTAATTCAAGTGGACAGTGATGAGACTATTCTAACGGTTCATAATTTACAACGGTCATTCGTAATCACTGGATTCTTTGGTAACGAATGTTGGTAAATCTCGAACGGTAGAGGTTTGTTTCTGGCTAAACTTATGCTTCTAAAAAGGGTTAGTGCTCTCAATGGCCGCATGCGCCACGCAGGCCGAAGGTTGGCTATAACCACCATCGTCTGCCTGCAACTACCAAAAAAAAAAAAAAAACTTCTATGTATGTTTACACACGCTGGAATTCTGGTACTGGAAGAACGTAAATAAGATAAAATATCTCCCATTTCCTCTCAAATGACTGTTTAGTTTTATTTCTGTCCGGGTTCAATGGTTGTTATTGGTTAAAAGCAAGCGAATGGGAGAAATAAAGCTATAATTCTCTCCTTGAAGTTTTCTTTATATATGCCTTATAGTTGATCCACACACAAACAGAGTGCATCCAGTTTTCTAGGTCTACACGTTCTTCAGAACTAGCAAAACCAGCAGCAGCTTTTATTTCCCCTAATTTGCATTCAGCACTGAACAAAATAATTTACCTCTGGGGGGATGTAGCTGTTTCCTGCATACAGTTAGATCTACTTGTAATGTTCATTAAATTTCAACAATACAAGTAACTTATTTTATTTTTTGAACCTGATATCCAAGTACTCTTATGTAACTGTTTTGTTCAGCTATGGAAGATCTCTAATTTTGCCTCAAAGGACAACGAAGTTCGAAGATGAAGTGCATAAACATTGACAGAGTATATATTATTTTAATACAACTGGCCCTCCACATCTCTACAAATTAACATTTAGCG